CGGGTTGGGTTGGGGTGGTTTGGTGGGTGGTGAAACCAGAGGGGGTCCTCGCAGGATCCTGCAGGATCTGGTGCCCTGGCTGACCCCCGTTTGCATTGACCCCCGTCTCAAGGCTCCCGAACACGAGCCCTGGCCCCGGCGCCGGAGACGGGCTCGCGGAGGCTGCTCGACCCTGAGCGCCCCCGCCGGCTGGGCGCCGCCTGCGCCGAGGCGCCGCACGTTCCCGCCGCACGCCAACGGCCACTCGGACAGCAAGCCGCCCAAGTCGGGTCGGGCGAAAGGGGGGGATAGCAAAAGGGGGGTTTGAGAATCAGCTCACTTAGCTGAGGAATCGAGGAATGGGCCCCTCGGTGAGGCCGAAACCAGCTGCATGCAGCAAATTTCGTAACCCCCCCTTTCCCAATCCCCCCCTTTCGTCCGGCCCGACCAAGTGTGTGTGTGTGTGTGTGTGTGTGTGTGTGCGAAGGCCGGCACGGCACGTCTTGTGGGATGGCTCTCTCGCACCATCGAGAGAAAGGCAACCCGGCTCGCTGCCCTGGCACGGCGTGGCGTTGACAGTGCGGCTCCGCACGCGTGTCACTCAGACGCTGATCGGCCACTCAGACAGCAATCTACCCAAATGTGTCCGACGGCCGATACGACCGCTCTTCTCGGCAGCCCCCCTCCGCAACCCTCACACTGTGCACGTCGGACCCCAGCCACTCCCCTTCAGATCCAACTCTCCCCCTCATCCACGCACCGCAGCGCACACATCCCCCCTCCTCGTGCCCCCCCTCTCGTCTCCCTCCCCCCCCTCAGCTGGCCATGAGCCAGAAGGGTCCTGAGGGAATCGGGACCTGGATGCCGCGGAACTCCCCTGGACCGGCTTCTCATAGGGAAACGAGCTCTATGCACAGAAACGCGGGTCCTGGTGTATACGGGATCCTGGTGTATACATTTTTCGCTGTTTCCCTTGGAAAACGGGGGAGAAGTATACACCACACCAACCCGACGTCGTCCCCGACCCTCAAAAAGTCGTGGGATTGAAACAAAACCCGCCACTGGTAATGCATATGTTCCAGTTTCCGATTTCGTCCCGAGCCGTCTTCCGAAGCAGCTGGATGGCGGTGGCGGTGGCGGGGATTGGCGGAGGTGGGGGATGACTCGGCCCCCTCCCTCAGTGCCTCCTCCCCTCGCCCGCCCCCAGGCTCCCACCTTTCGCTCCTGCCCCTCCTCCCGCCTCCCACATCCAACTTCCCTCCTGTCTTTCTCGTCCATCTCCGCTCCTGCCTCGCCCCTGCCGTCCTCCCCCATCAGTCCCCGCTCCCTGCCCTCTTTCCTCCCCCCTACGCATCTCTAACATGTTGTGGCAATTCCTCTTCTTTTGGAGCAGAAATCTTGAATCCAGGGCCTGCGTCAATACAACTGCAGATGACTCCGCCTGACTGGCGCCGTGCCCTGTAAATTGTTACGTCGAACCCTCAATCCACGTGGCGTTCTTCTTCTTCTTCTCCTCCTCTTCCTCCTCCTTCTCCTCCTCCTCCTCCTCCTCCTCCTCCTCCTCCTCCTCCTCCTCCTCCTCCCCCTCCACCTCCTCATTTTTCTTTGATGCTTCCGCTTTCGTTGTCCTCCTACCTCTTGCTCCATTGGGCCTCCCTGCACCCTCCTCCTCGCCACCGCCTCCTCGCCACCTCCTCCTCCTCCTCCTTTTCCGCTTTCTCCTCCTCCTCCTCCTCCTCCTCCTCCTCCTCCTCCCGTTCCACTCAGCCGAGCAACGTCCTGTGCGCGCGTACTCACCCGCTGGACCAAGCTGGGGATTGATGCGGCCCTCCGATCCATGCCAGCCGCTTGCCAAAATGTGATGTGGTCCCACCGCTCCACTTCCCCCTCTTCCCGTGCGACCGACCAGGACGGGGTATCATCTTGCGGCCTCCTGGACCTCGTCGGGCATGCTGGGGCCGCTTGGTGCATCAAAGGGCTTTTGGGGCCTCCAGGGGCCTCCTGGAACCTCCCGCGGCCTCGTGGGGCCTCGTGGAACCTTGTGGGACCTCCTGGAATCTCCTGTGGCCTCGTGGGGATTCCTGGAACTTGCTGGGGCCTCCTGGCAATTCCCGTGACTTCCTGGACCTTTCTGGGCCCTCCTGGGGTTTCCTGGGGCTGCTGGGATATGTTGGGGTCTCTTGGAACATCCTAGGGCCTGAGACCTCCTAGAGCATAGCGTGCTTCCCCTGGGGTTCCTTTTGGCGCTGTGATCTTTCGGCGCTTGGAGACGACGTGCCGCCTGGAATCCAATGTCTTTTATGTCCACGTGATGCGCGTCGCACCCTCGATGCGCCGAGAACGCTATCGGTCCACGCGTACCGCTGTCACGGACACGTGCGGCAAGCCAATGCACAGGTCATAGGCACATGTTGTTCGGCACGCGGAACACATTTCATTTGCGGCAGACGGTAGTGCATCTCACTGCACCGACCTTTCGGACGTGCTGCAACTGATTTTTGCGTGCATTTCGGTCAATGCAAAAACCCCGAGACGGCGAGCGAACAACGAAGTGATTTGTATGTGTTATTTTTGTAGTCTTTATTCCATGCCAAACAAGTCCGCACGACATTCACTTCGAACTCCAACACGACATTCTTTTGGACGCCCGAAATGGGTACGGAAAGAATGGGTACAATGCCCAACAATAAATGTTGTCCCACGAAGGGCGGGGCCGGCCACGCTGAGGGCGGCCCAGCCCCATGGGGCTTCATCTCACTGCCGATCGAGGCGAGCACGTCAGAGAACATCAGCCCGGCCGAGATCGAGACTGCAGAACACCACGGCGGCTACAGCCAACCCGTATCAGAAGGACGCGCGGTGAGGATGTACGGGCCTTGGAGGCCCACGTGAAGGCTTTTCGAACGGGGTTGGCCAGTTAAAGTGGCCACGGCTGGGCGGAAGGGGCCAGGATGCAAGGGTGCCCTTGGGAAGGTTGCCCATCCTTACCAATGCGGGCCGACTGTATGGTCGTGCGTCTCGCTGCGCCAGGCGCGGATGACTTCGCTCAAGTCGGGCCTGTCCCATTTTTTTTGGGTATTTATGTTTTTTCGTCCAAGATCCGCCTGTAGGGGGGGGCATGCCTGACCTAAGACTTCGCGGCCTCGCGCCGCGCCGCCCACCCAGGGGGGGAGACGAGGAGGACGACGAGGACGAGGACGAGGAGCTGCGCACCGCGAAGGCCGCGAAGGCCGCGAAGGCCTGCGCGCCCCAGTGGCGGGCGGCCCTTGCAAAAGCACCTCCCTGCGGCGCCCGCCGCCTCCTGCTCTGGGAGGGGCGGCGCACCCAGCGGTGCACTTCACAGCAGGGATCGCCCCAAACGGTGTTTTTCGATTTCGTTTCGTTTTCGTTTTCCTTCGTTTTGCCTTCAATTCGCCTTTGCAGCAAAACGAAATCGAAACGAAAACGGCCCACGGAATCGCCAACACACTGTTTAGACCGACCCCTGCTCCACAAGACCGTGCCGTGCCACAGAATGCAAGACAAGTGCGCGCAAGTCCAACCAGATGAAGCAGCGCCGCCTCCTCCATCCCTCTTCATTCTGAACAGCTTCTTCCTGTCGCGCCCCTGGGCGTGTCGGTAGGGCGGGCCAGGTGTTTCACCTGAGACTTCCTCACATCTCATGGCGCCGAAGCTTGACACTTGCAACGATGACAAGGATGAGGGGTACCCTTTTCGAAACGGAGCCCTCGCCTTAGCGCAGCGCGCGTGTCAATGTTACATTTAGCAACAGGTGCAAGGATGTAGGGTGGTATGCGTGGGGCTCTCGCCTTAGCACCGCGGAAAAGCTTTCTACAGTTACAGGGGTGGAAGGAAGCGGGGGGCGATTTTCAAAATTGGGCTCTCGCCTAAGCGCCGCGCGCATAAAGTTTGCAACAGCTACCAGGGAGGTCGGCTCCTTTTCAAAATGGGGCTCTCGCCTCAGCGATGCGCACACTCGTCTTAAGACATTGCATCAGTTACGGGGATGGGGAACGATTCCTTTTCAACGTTGGGTTTTCGACTGCGGCGTCCTCCTGGGAGCTCGCTTGAGACTTCCTTGTGTTAAAAAATCAGAAGCTTGAGCCTTTGTGACGGCAACACGGGCGGAGGGCACTTCCTTTTCAAGCCGGAGCTCTCGCGAGATTTCCTCGAAACTCATGGCCGTACTTCAGCTTGTGCAGAGGTTATACTCATGAGAACTGCCTGTTTTCAACACGGGGATCCCGCTGTCACCTCGATGCACTACATGAGCATCTCTTGTCGCATGCCAGTCGCTCGAAGAGTGCAAGCCACACGCTTCGCAACACGGGGGCCTCGCCCGAACGGCATGCCCATGCGGTGCTGGCGTTTCGATGGGGGGGGGCGCTTCTGGCAGCGAGAGAAGGAAAGCTTGTTAAGGACTTGCGAGGAGGGGGCCTGGGACGGGAAGGTGTACTGCAACATCGTTGATGCATCTTGCGTGTATGACTAAGTCGGGCAAGCCCCTCTACAGGAGGACTGTTCAAACACAATAAAAAAACATGGTATGGGGACGATCTTCTCCATTCTGACTATTCTGGAATAGTTTTGCACAATGTTTGGCAATTTCCCTGAACATCCGCCTGTAGGAAAACATGCCCGACCTAGGTCTATTCCGGTCTCTCCTCGCACTTCTCCAGACGTGCTCCCTCGCGGGCCGTCGACAACGACGCCGGCGTCCAGAAGGCTGCGCAGCGTGCGGCGGCCTCTTGTACGCCTCCACGGACTTGACGTGGGTGGCCGACTGGGCGCGCTCCTTGATCTTCGTCTCGACTTCCTCGAGGGAGGGGGAGAGGAGGAGGAGGAGGAGGAGGAGGAGGAGGAGGAGGAGGAGGAGGAGGAGGAGGAGGCGGAGGAGTGAGGAGGAGGAGGAGGAGGGAGGAGGGAGGAGAGGGAGGAGGAGGGAGGAGGAGTATGAGGACACGAGGAGGAGGAGGGAGGGAGGAAAGGAGGGAGGGAGGAGGAGGAGGAGGAATGATGAGGAGGGAGGCCGGAGGAGGAGGAGCGAGTAGGAGGAGGAGGAGGAGGAGGAGGAGGAGGCGGAAGAGGAGGAGGAGGAGGAGGAGGGAGGAGGAGGAGGAGGAGAGGAGGAGGAGGGGAGGAGGAGGAGGAGGGGAGGAGGAGGAGGAGGAGGAGGAGGAGGAGGAGGGAGGAGGCATGAGGAGAAGGACGAGGACGAGGAAGGAAGAGTGAGGTCCCCCGATGCCCCTGGAGCCCACCCGAGGCCAGATGCTGGCAAAGACGCTCAAACACAGCCCCGCCCCCCCCTCCGTCAGGCCTCGATCCTCGGCCCCCCTCCTCCACGACCACCTCCATTCCTGTTCCTCCTCTTCGTTTCCTCCTCGTTTCTTCCTCCTTCCTCCCCTCCTCCGTTTCATCCTCCCACCTCCTATCCTACCTACCTCCCTTCCCTCCTTCCCTCATCCACGACCTCCTCCTCCTCCTCCACGAGACCTCCTCCTTCCTCCCTCCTCCCCTCCTCCTCCTCGTCCTCCTCGTCCTCCTCGTCCTCCTCGTCCTCTTCCTCCTCCTCCTCCTCTTCCTCCTCCTCCTCCTCCTCCTCCCTCGGATCCTCGATCCCCGCCGCGCACCCCCCCCCGGCGGCACCGCCGCGGCGGCTGGAGGCCCACCCGCCGGCGCCGGCGAAGCAGACGCCCCTCCTCCTTCCAGTTCTTGCTGTGCTTGACGCTGAAGAAGCTGGAGCGGTTCCTCCCAGGGGGGGGGGGGCGGCGCTCTGGGCCCGCGCTCGGGGGGCATGTCCAGGGGAACCCAAAGTGGCATAAACAGAACAACTCGGAGGTCCGCGCGGATGTCTCGGATCGGCGCTGGGCCCCCCTCCCTGGCGCGCGGAGCGCGCCAGGCGCGGCGCTGGAGGCGCCGCCGGGGGGGCCCAGCGCCGATCCGAGAAATCCGCGCGGACCTCCGAATTTTTATGTTTATATCACTTTATGTCCCCCTAATGTCAGAGGAGGAAGGGGTACCGATGCCGGGACCCTTGCCTCGTGGTCGCCACTTCGGGCCTCCTGGGGGGGCCCCCGTCGCCACCGCTGGATTCGCACCGAACATCTGGTCAGACGGCACCCTGGGAGAGGTCTGGGGAATGACGGCACTGGTATCTCTTGGCTTCCTCAGCACGGGCGCTCGCGGGCGCAAGACGAAGGCAAAGCTGGGACACAATCCGACCGGGACAGATCGGGCATTTCTGAGATCCAGCGCTTCTGGAGGGACACATCGGGCGTCACGATCGCTCCGGAGCGCTCCAGAACGGTCTTAGAGCTGTCTGGAACGCTCTGGAGCGATTTAGCCTGGTCCTGGCCCAGCCCACAGACCTCCGACGTCGGGATCTTTTCGCAACGTGTTCCCCAGGGGGGGTCTGGACCTCTTCCCAGGGTCGGGTTTCTCATGCCGAACTGTTCTTGGACGCTCCTGGGGCTCGGTGACCCCAGGGTTCCCCTCTGAGCCCGTTCGGCGTCCGAGCCCATGCGGCCGCCGAGTGGACCCACGATCGAGCCCGTTGGGCAGCCGGTGGGGCTCAATGCCCTCGACCCTGTCGGAGCTGAGCCCGTGCGGCCGCCCAGTCGGCGGCCGAGCGAGCTCAGGCGCCGAACGGGCTCAGAAAGAAGCACTGGGGGATGGCTTCCAGAGTTATGCTGCCCCCATCGTACTTAAGGACCACATCCCAGGAACAAGTTCGAGGACCCAAAGGAATCTCGAAACAGTGTTGGACGAATCTCGCCTCCCGGGGCCCGGCCCGTGAAAACCCTCCAGTCTCGGTATTTTCTTGGTGCTCGAAGTGCTTTCTTGTGATTAAGGCTACAGCAAGTTTGAACATTATCATGCTAGACATCCCGTTGAAGAAACAACTTTGCATCAAGAACTGGGGGACCACCTCGAATACACCCCCCTGCCCCCCCCCCGGCCTTCATATTGAGCAGTTGGTCCCGGAGATGAGCGGCCGGAAAAATCGGAGCCCAAGATCTCGATCGCAATGCGTTCCAATGTTAAGGCCAGGGCGTGGAGGGGGGGGAATTCGGTTCTTTGTCGTCGGAGCGTTGTTGATGCACGGCTTTTTCCTTTAGCCGTCGGAAGCGGCCAAGCGCCCTGTCGTGATCTGCTCTCGCGACGCGAGCGCGCCCGAGTCCATGATTACCAGTGGTGCACGCCCGCGAGGCGCAGCGCACGGAGCGAAGGGCCGCTGTCCTCAGGTCGGGCATGTCCTCCTGCAAACGGGTTTTGGAAGACAGCTAGCAACAAAAAAATGCCAAAACATAAGCAAACATCGTCCAAACATCGTCCCCAGACTATTTGCTCGAACATTTTTTTTATATTCCCACTGTAACGGGGCATGCCCGGCTTAACATTATCCAAGGAGCCCCCGACCATATCATGGCCCTGGCCATGACCCCCCCCCTACAGTCATGGATGGCGCTGCCAGAAGGAACGCTCAATAGGGAGCGAAGCTCCCTTTTTCCGAATCAGGTCGCACCTCTCTGAGGAACGGCCGGGCCCTCTTTTGGCGGCGTTCCCTCGCCGTTGCCGCTCTCGTTCTGACAGCGACCCCTCCCCTCCCAAGGAACGCCAAAGGGACTCCCCGGCAACATTTCGAGGGAACGCAGGCGGACTCAAGGAACCACCGAGCCCCTTCCGAACCCGAGCTGGACCTCATCTCAACGACACGTGGCGGCGCGCAGACGGGGGGTATGGGGGGAGGGGGAGGGGGGAAGGCTTCTTAGAAGGAGGGGCAGGGGGAGGGACGAGAAGGAGGGGGAATTGTAGGGGGGAAACTTCTTGGAAGGAAACTTCTTCTTAGAAGGCGCCTGCCTCACACCCATAGATGAGGCCCGCGCCTTCTAAGCAGCCTCGCGCTAGGAAGCCTTCCCCCCTCTTCTTGCCCGCCCCAGCGCGTGCCTGAGCCATGACTAGAGGCCTCCCAAATGAGGTCCGAGAAGATGGGGCTGGAAGATCGCGCCGCATCGCCAATTCCTCGGCGATGCATCGGCGACGTCGGCGTGGGGAACGTCGGGCTCCGCGTCGAGCCGCATCGGCGATGCACCGGCGATGCGCCGCGATCCTCCGACCCCGCCTGCTCGGACCCCACCTAGGAGGCCTAGACAAGGTCCCGCGCGGGGGCAACCCACGCACGCTTGGGCCAACGCGCGTCCCGTGGAGCATCCAGCTTCATGGGACGCGGTGGAGAAGGAGGCGGAGGCGGAGGAGGAGAAGAAGGAGGAAGAGGAGGTGGAGGAGAAGGAAGAGGAGGAGGAGGGGGAATCGGAATCGGAATCGAGCTCGGGGGGCACTAGGTTCGTCTGATCATGTGAGATGCCTGGACAACTCCTGGCATCAATCGTCGGATTAAGCCTGTCTTCGCCCTGTGGACCTATTCAGGAACTTCTGGGGGGCTGTTTATGCAGGCAGGAAATTTGCACAGGCGGTCTGGAGCACCCTCGTTTGCCGGCTGACCTGAGGGGCCTCCCCGCACCACCACAAACCACGAGAGATTCTTGGGGCTGTAGGGCGGCGGGGCGAGCCACCCCGCCCTGGACAGTAGTAGGGACACAAAGGCCAATCCCACCATCCAGGGCACGACTGGCTCACGTCCAACATCCAGCCTCAATCCTTCTCCACAAATTTGTTCAAAAAATCAGTTTGGGTTCGGGGGGGTGGGTGAGTTTGGCTCCCAGAAGAAGCTCAGCGGCCTGAGAAACACCGCGGCCACTCACCCACCCCCCTTTCCCCTTCCTTTCCTCCGCAACGCGGGCGGCTGCAGTACTGAGCTGGCGGCAGCAACGCCTGGGTGTCGGAGAGCGGCCTCCAGCGTCAATTCACCTCGTTCCATCATCTCCAGGAGACGATGGGAGAACTGCCCGATCAGCACCCGCTGGATAGCCGTCAGCCGCTGAGGCTGTCGCGCAAGTTCCAGCTCTTCGACTTCTTCTTGCCCGTCGGCGAACCTTCGAGCACCTCGAGAAGCTCCTGCGCGGCCCGCTCCAAGGGGCCCCACGCGAGCTGGGTCGTGCTTCTCTGCGCCGCCGCTCTGCGCCCGCGCCGCCAGGATAGCCGCCCGCGCCGTGCCAAAGTCCGTGCTCATCGCGATCGTCACCATGGCGAGGCTTGGCTTCCCGTCCTTGACCTTGGCTGCCTTGCATTTGCAGTGCATCGCCTTGCCCGGCAGATCGATTGGCGTCTTGCCCTCCGCTGCCACTTCCTTCGCCCGAAACTCGGTCGGGCGCTGCATGCCGGCTGGCTCGAGCTCTATCTGCGTCTTCGACAATCCGAGCACGAGGCATGCGAGGATGTGCACGCGGGGATGGCCAAGGTGGTCTTGAGCGGCAGGATCTCCTTTGGCCGTTTTTGTCGCCTCGTGGCGCGATTTCCCATGGGCCATTATCTCGACTGCGATGGGCGACTTGGCGTCGACGAGCACCGTGTTCCACGGCATTCCTGTGATCTTCCTGATCTCGGCCGCGTTAGGTTAAGCTTAGTTTTATGAGTGCTATGAGCAGCTTCTTGGCTGTGCTCATGTCCTCGCCCGTGGCGAGCAACTCTTGGCTCTGCACCTCGCGGGCGGGCCCGTCTGCGCCCGAGCTGGAATCGGCACCTCTCTTCAAGCCCCAAGCTGGGGCGGCGACTGCGAGCGACCGATGTCGAGGGGGATGCGTCGGTGCCAGCTCGGATAATACTTTGCAAGGGGGCGCGTGACTCTGTGGGTGCTCTTGTAGCTGCCCAGCAAGATTTGGGCTCGAAACTCACGCAGATGACAGTCGACGCGATCGGGGTGATGACGCCCTCCTATATCTCGAGCGACCAATGCAATGCCCACCGCTGACCACGCTCGAGAGAAGGTGACGCAGAGCCGTGTTCGCGCGGCTGGGCGTGATGAGGCAGAAAGGGCACACTTTCGTCGTGACTGTTCTAGTCCACGCGTCACGCTGTCCATGTTTGGCCATCCTGTGTTGCGTGGCCACCAGATATGTGTCAAAGCAAGCCGTGCGCGATATTCCATCTTCCAAGGCGAACCCACATTTCCATCCCCCCTCCTCCACCTGTGTTTGTAGAAGCAGCAGTAGTAGTAGTAGTAGTAGTAGTAGTAGTAGTAGTAGTAGTAGTAGTAGTAGTAGTAGTAGTAGTAGTAGTAGTAGTAGTAGTAGTAGTAGTAGTAGTAGTAGTAGTAGTAGTAGTAGTAGTAGTAGTAGTAGTAGTAGTAGTAGTAGTAGTAGTAGTAGTAGTAGTAGTAGTAGTAGTAGTAGTAGTAGTAGTAGTAGTAGTAGTAGTAGTAGTAGTAGTAGTAGTAGTAGTAGTAGTAGTCGTAGTAGTAGTAGTAGTAGTAGTAGTAGTAGTAGTAGTAGTAGTAGTAGTAGTAGTAGTAGTAGTAGTAGTAGTAGTAGCAGTAGCAGTAGCAGTAGCACTAGTAGTAGTAGTAGTAGTAGTAGTAGTAGTAGTAGTAGTAGTAGTGGTATTATTTTTTGGTTTTTAATTATAAACTTATCCGGGCGAAGGACCCAACCAGATGCAGTTGCGAGTACCGCAATTGTGAGTATCTTCTTCGATGGCGCTGTAGGGGTGTGCGGAAATCTGTGCGGTGGCCACGAAACGTGTGAGGGGTGTGCCGAAATCTGTGCGGTGGGCGCATGGGAGCGCAGCCGCTGGGGCCTTCGCTGGAGCTCCCTATGGGGCCACGAAACGTATGAGGGGTGTGCCGAAATGGG